CAGCTGTTGACAAGAATAACGCGCCCAACACTCTGAGCAATGTTCACTGCTGAAACAATCTGCTGCGAGTTGGTAAACGAAAAGCTCGAGTTTGTGTAAGCTCGCCGCTCATTCTACTCATGTAAACAGTCATCTATACCTAATTCAAACGCTATTGGCATAATTCTCACGACCAGCAACCCGCAGATCGGATGGACTGCACCATCGGAGCCGTTGTGTACGTACTGTCGCTTGGAGTCTCTGGCGTACTGTTTGCATTGTCAAATTTTGTGCATCTTGTTCTAGAAAATAAAAATCTGCAGAAAAATTGGTACATTTTGGCTCGAGTAGTCGCTCTCTAATTTCAGCAAGGACGTTTACTGAGCATCAAGTCGGGAGTCTTCAAGCTCGCTGGTAGGCTCGAGGTCGCTGCATGCAACACTGAGATGGTCAGTCTCGTCGCGATTGGATTTATCGTCGAGGAATACCTTATTAATGGTCCCTGCTTGGTCACTGATTTGTTTTCCGCGATGGCAGACGAGTGATCGCGTCTTCGGAGTTGGGTCAAAAGCCTAAGGCGCTTGTGTCGGGCTTTGTGGCGTTTAGCGCCACGTGATGTGGGCGGGAAATAATGTTGATTTGATTTTCTAGGAGGTTTCACCACCATTCCTCCGCTGGTTTTCCTCTCCCTCCCCGCAATAGTGCTGGCGGGAGCTCTCCCGGCCTCGACGCGGTGTTTAAGACACAAGCTGCGAGGCTTTAACCTCTCATTTCTCAAGTCGCCTCCTCCGGGTTCGTCTTTTGTTCGGGTTGGCTTCGTCGGTCGTCCAGCTCTGACCGTTCGTGTTTCTCCTCTAGCTCAGTACTTTTTTATACCAAATGGCGCATCAAAACGGCGTCGCTGTTCGCCAAGACAACCCTCACCTTCACCTGCCGATTCCAGAGTATGCGAAGAAGTGGCACCCCGCCGTTCACAGGCCGAAGAGGATACCGGCTATTTACGACGTGCGCGTCGACGCCGCGCACATATTCGCCCTGCCATATCACCCTGACACGAAGGTGGCCCAAGAATACTTCATAGTCGCTCAGCGGTGCACCATGTGCTCGAGGGTTAGGCAGGTCTGTTCGCGAGGGAGTCCGGCATGTAAGAGGTGCGTCGACAAGAAGCTTGCTTGCGTTCCCCAAGAGCCCGGATACGTCGAACTCCCTCTCCCGAGAGCGAAGAAGCAGCCACTGCGGCAGGAAGTCCAAGCACTCAGGAAGTCTCTACCGGATGCACCATATTATCGCGACCACTCAGCCTCCGTAGCCAGGTCCTTGGGCGTGCCAACCTCCTCTGCATCTTCGCGGCGTAAAGGAACAAGATCTACAGAACAGGAGTCCGCGTCCACTGCGCAAAGGAGACGGCGGGGAGAACAGAGGCAAGAGAAGGCGAGTGTTTCCAGACGCGACTCTAGGAAGCGTGTGTCTCCAGGTCCTCCGCCAGACAAAGCGGACGCGAAAGACTCTGTGGACAAGGTCGCACAAGCACAAGAATCTACACACGCGACACCTGCAACTTCCATCAGCTCGCTCTCTTCGGCGCCCACCTCTACCGCCTCAGACACGCGTCAGCCAACGGTGCATACCCGCCCCGTGAGCGTCGTCTACCTGACCGCGACTCGGCCAAGCTCTCTCTCGATGGTCACAAATGGGGCCCACACCCTTGTTGGTTCCATCCCGTACAACGCTTCTGTTTCCCGCCCCCCAAGTGCGGCGGCCTCTGGCGTGATATCACCGCCCAGGCAAGAAGCCCCGAAGGATCCCACAACGCCCGCTGCTCTTCACCCTAGCGCACTTGTTTCCGCTAATGCCAAGCAGAACGGCGTCGCGCACTCCCAACCTTCCTGTCCCGCGACCGCTACGGAAGCAGCCTCCTCCGCTCCCAAAGGCCCTTCTTCTTCAGCACCGCCTACTACGACACCCTCGTCCACGACGCCTGCGACTTCTAGTGCCCCTTCTTCACGCCTGTCTATTCGCGTTCCTCCGCGCAGCAGTCTCAGTTCTAGTGTCGCTGAGTCTTCGGTCTCAGCTGCTCAGAAGCCATCCTCGACGGCCGCACCGAAAGCACCACCTGAGACCGCCCGGAAACCTGTGTCGACAGTCGCGTCGAAATCGCCTCCAGAGGCTGCGAGACAGCCGCCTGCCGCGGGCGATGCGCAAAGCCCACCGTCACGCCCGGCTGAGACCGCCCGGAAACCCCCGTCGACAGTCGCGTCGAAGTCCCCTCCAGTGGCTGCGAGGCAGCCGCCTGCCGCAGGCGATGCGCAAAGCCTACCGTCACGCCCGGCCGAGACGACTCGTATGCCCACATTTGCTGAAGTGATAAATGCCTTCGCGAGGGCCGAAGCTGCGGCCATGAATGTCGCTCCCGCTCGTCCTTCTATAGCCAGCGCCACCCCAGCCTCTGCAGCCCCATCTTCACTTCTTAATCCTGTCACCATCGGACCGCCGCGGCCCGCTCCAGGGAGCACTCGGCCAAGCTTCTCCGCTCCAGCTGCGACACATAGGGTTCAGCCAAACTCCTCTGCTCCTATCGCGCCAGCGACCACGACGCCTGACGACCAGTCGTGCTCCTTCCGTCTGTCAACCACAGCAGCCTGGGCTGCCGCTGACAGGGGCGTATCGTCGTCTTCCGACTCCTCAAACGACGAGCCGCTCCTCGGCAACACGCGCAAGCGCAAGCACGCGCACGACCCCAACGCGAGCGCGAGCTCCCGGCCCACATCGAAGCGCAGGCGCACCACGAACACGACCGAGGCACCGGCGCCCGACACCCGCAGGCCGCCGCCGCAGATACCGTGGTGGACGGCGCAGGCGAGCGCCACGAGCAGCGAGGCGTGGTACAGCCAGCTGAACGGCACGGGCTACGGCGCCACCGTCAGCAACAACAGCAGCAACGGCGCCACCAGCGTGTCCCACGGCAGGCGCAGAGAAGAGCCGTTCCTGTCGCCCCTGCGCCCGCCGCTCCCGAGCATCCAGCAGCGCGCCGAGCGTTTCGCACCGCTCCACGACCCGCCACTACTGTTGCCACCGCCACCGCCACCACCGCCGCTGCACGAGGGCGAGTACGACTCGGAGGAGGAGGTCGCGCGGTACCTCAAGCCCCGCCCGCGGAAGGGCGGCCGTGCCGCCGCCACCGCCGCCGCCGCCACCGCCGCCGCCGCACGCACCCGCTCGCCCGGCCCACCCGCCCCGGTGTTCGTTCCGCGGCAGAAGCTGCTGGAGGACTCGGCCGTCGTCATGGTCGAAGACGTGCTGATGCACCTGCCGCGGTCGCGGCTCGTCCAGATGTCGGAGTACTTTGCGAAGCACCTCCTCGCGCGCGACGGCGACGCAGACGAGCCGGCCCCGGCGGCCCTGGACCAGTGCGCGGTCGCCAGAGTGACGGGCGTGTGCGCCGAGGACTTTGAGGCGCTGCTCGGCGTGTGCGACGACCCGAGGTGCGTTCTTTTTTTTGATGTGCAATGTTGGTTGCGAGAACGAGAGCGGGAGAGAAGAGAGGAAAAGAAGAGAAGCCACCGAGCTGACACGGACCTTTGACAGCATCTTCATCCAGCGGCAGCCGCCGTTCAAGACCCTGATCGCCGTCTTCTGCGCCGCGCGCACGCTCAGCTTCCGCCAGATTGACGCCCTGGCGACCTCGCGGCTCGAGAGCCTCTGGCCGAGCGACCTCCACAAGCTCTCGCCCGTGCGCACGCCCCACGCAGCCGAGACCGTCGTCCTCTCGCGCATGTACAGCCTGCCGGCCGTGCGCAAGCGCGCGTTCTACGAGCTCCTCCGTTCCGAGGGCTTTGCGCAGCGCGGCGTCGACGACAACGGCGGCGGCGGCAGTGGTGGCAGCGGCGCGCTGCCCGACGGCACGCTGCTCGACGGCAGCCGGCTCCTCGGCCGCGCAAAGCTCAGCCACGCCGACATGGTCCGCCTCGTCACCACGCGCGAGAAGCTGCAGATGGCCTGGACACTCCTCGTCGGCACCGCCCCGTCGCCCGCCGCGTTCCCCTGCATGCTCCAGCAGACGACGTCCGCCAACACCGCCTACAGCACCCACGCCGCGCGCAAACGCTGCTCCGACGCGTGCCGGAGCTCGGCCCAGATATGGGCAGAGTGGGTCCTCGACTCGGGCTTGTTTGAGAACTGGATGTATGACCCCGTGTGCGGCCTGGAGCGGCTCTCGGTCCTGGACTGGGAGCACTCGGGGTTCTGCAGCGCGTGTGTCATGACGAGGAGGCAGCTGTGGGCGCGCAAGAGAGAAGAGATATGGGATAATTTGGATACCTGGCTTGGCCTTTAGTGGTTCGTTCAGGTCGAGATCGACATGTCTGTTTTCTTTCTGTTGAAGGTTGCTGTGCACCAGCATGTTACATAAATAATAGCCAAGACGAGAAGTAGTATAGATATCGGTTGGCTGGTGTTAATGACCGGTCGTCTACTCTACAATGCATCATCGTCATATTTCTGCAGCTGGCACGGCCAGATGGAACACTGGGCTATAGGCTATAGATATGTGGATACAATTCTTCCCAATATGATTAGGCATAGCGTGGAGAAGCCAGAGCCTTGTGGAGGCGGACAAGGCATGTCGATGGCTATGTCGAGGCTGTCTGAGGAGGACCGATAACAAGGATCGGTGCCAAATCCTCCTCGATCTCTTCATCATGCCCGTGTACGAGAGGCTCGCCGATGTTACCGATGATGCTTGTGAACGTCCCATAGTCGGCGCTCGAGGTCCTAGGTTGGAATGTAGGAATTACGGCAGAGTAAGACTGGATGCTCGGCCCGGAGCGCACTTGGCGCAGATTCAGCATGAAGCGGCTAACCAAGATTGGAGGCTGAGATCCGTCAGTACGGTGCCAATAGTGAGCCATAGCTATCATACCATTGCCACGACGAGCGATCCCACAGGATGAAATGTCTAAAGAGAGCGTCAGCCGTAACGAAAGCCTGGGATGCGAAAGCTTTGTTTTACAGGATGGGTCGTCAACACTTGAGCTATGTTCAAAAGTAATAGTGCGCTAATTCACACGATATCATTAGGTGTCACTGTAAGCTGCCAACACGAACTTACGAAAAATAGACGGTTCCTAGGTAAGCGATCTTGGTCAGCTGTCTATACGCGCAATCTTTCACAAGATTCACCATCACGGAGTAGACACGATGAAACAGTTGGTGAAGATTGAGACCTAGAGACACTCTTCCAATATCTGAAGGTCTGCTGCCACGTTACGACAACAACCAACAGGTCTGCCATTATTTGCGAGACTCGAGTGACGAGAAGGACTGTGGAGTAGCATGAGCGCATCCAGGGGATACTGAGGATACTATAACCCACGACTGCAATGCATGCTTATGTTATCACGAAAACAGTCAAGTAAAAAAGAAACTACACACGTTAAAAATGCCTTGTTTGGTATGTCCACAGTCCCATTACACTCCGATATTTTGGTCCAGCTAAACTAAATGCCGAGAGTGTGATCAGCGCTGAGCGCTGAGCGCTCACACTATCTTGATACCCACCGCATTAATTCCAATGGGTATAAGGCCTAGTCCTAAAATCACTACTGCCAGCGTACGGCTTCCGCCGGTCATTGCAAAGACACGCAGGGCGGAAAAGACTGATTACTAAGCAATCAGCTCATTATCCTTGTAATTTGGTGTATAACCTACCAGCAATCTGAAACCAGCCGATACAGGAAAGTACCTCAGAGATGACATTAGTGGCCTCGCAACTTTTAGAGGTCGAGGTTAGTAGCCACGGATACTAGACAGCATTGAACAGAGTTAGATACCTCTGTTACGGAAAATAAGTAATGCGATCCTGTACCAGTTCATGGACTCACTGTATAAGACGAGAGCGGGATGAGTGATATTATCGCGCTGAGAACCATTACCCAGCGAGTCGAGAGGAGTAGCACGGAACTGGCGGTCCACTTCCGCTGCCACACCGCCTGCACCTCCAGGTCCAATGTGATGAGGTACTCGTAAATTGTTAGAGCTAAATTCTTTATGAGTTCGAGGATGACTAGTAAAGCTTATGCACGCCAAGAAAGTCCGAGACTCACCTGAAACTGCATTTCCTATTCTGTTCGTCGTTTCTATCTCGCTGAAGAGTCCGATAAGTGTGAAGTTCAATGAGGATGCAGGTGAATGGAATTCACAATTGCGAGGTAATAAAATTCTCCGTTGCGCTACCAGCCATTGTAGCTACCCTTCTGAGCAAAATCTGAAGGAAGGGACCTAATAGCTTTCGGTGCAACATGGACTCATCTCTAAATACAAAAGGGCCTGGATACCGGATCTGTTGATGGAAAAAAATGCCTCGATACACCGCCTGTGCGCATGACACTCCGTATCGTGCATAAGATATCTGCTACTGAGATGAGGGGGCATATGGGTACCAACTTCTCGTAGCGAGGCAGTATCTCAGCCGAGAACAGTGAACGCCGTCTGGCCCGTCTCGAAAGTATGAGTCGGCCGCTAGTCTGGACGTCCGACTTTTTCTGACATCGCGTGACCTAGGGAGAGAAGTTACAAGAGTCTCTGGCTGAGCGGCCTACACATAACATTCCGTATCATGCATATGATGTCTGATACTGATACGAAGCGACGTACTAACTTCTCGTGGTGAGGCAGTATCTCCAAGAACAGCGGACACCGTGCGTCTCGGAAGTATCAGCCGCTGACCTGGACTTCCGGCTTTTCCTGATGTTGCCTGACCTCAGAGGGAAAGCTATGCTTAGTCCACCACAGCAGCCGTAGCTGATCATATAAGGCTGTGCTGTCTTCGCGAGATGATAGGTCAGGGACAACAGGAGCGGGGCGTTGCCACTAACGCACGGCCATAGAAAAAAAGGCTGGGACAGCGGTCCGGATGTCCCAAAAAGCCTTACAGCGTCTATACGAAGTTTATCCCAGTGTAGGGACTGGACGCACCGTATTGAGCATGCTACGCTCTAAATATCTGTTCGAACTTCGAAGGCGCATGAGCAGAGCAAAGTGAGGCGCCGGGAAAAAGATGGAAGCCGCAGGGTGATCCGTCGGATTGGGGGATACCTCGACTGGCCTGTAGAGGTCAGTATCAATATTCTTGCTCTCTTCTTGCAAGTTGTTGTATACCTGCATGTAAACCATGTGAACCAGGTAGTAGCAAAAATGACAAGCAGTGTAGGTACTGAAGGTTTGCTAGTACTAATAGTCGGCCACCTAAAATAGTAACAATACAGCGCATCGTCATCATCTTCCTACAAACAGCGGAGCAAAATAGAGT